GATTTGAACTCTTGACTTTGGCGTGAGAGGTATGGATTCTAACCACTACGCCGGGGTCGCCCCCCGGTTTTTTAAGTATCTTTTGTGCAGAATATGTAAAACATGAGGTACTTGGGTTTTTTTTTACTTCAAATGATCTTTATTACTTGTATTTGTTTGTTTGGTTTCAAGTGACACAGATGCGTCTTTTCAACTTTAGCACATTTGAAAATTTAATTATTATTTTTACAGTTCCTAGTCCTATCAGGCCTGTTATTAGAGTATTACCACCTTGGTGGGATTGGTTTGTTAGGCACTTTGGATGTTGATCTAAACCCATATATAGAGGTGCCAGACATATTTTGCAGTGTCAGGTACTATATATTGTAGTCTGTGAAAGGGAAATCCCAAATTGAATGTCATCAAAATACACAGCATGTTGAGTGATTGAGCTGGTGAGGGAGCATTTTCCCTCTCAAATTTAATTTTGTTGGCTTTCTGGGGAGTGGTAGTAAAGCAGTTAAAAATGTATAGGAAAAAACTGTTTTTATTTAATTGTACGTTGTAGCGTATTATTTCCCTTTTTCCAAATTCCTATATCAAGATTTGCATTACTTTCTACCTACGAAACAGCGCCAATGTTTTCCAGGAGTTTTGGAAATTTCCATGGTTGTGAAATATAGGGCTCTCTCATTTCGCCAAAGGTCGTTCCGCCGAAGAACATTTTGCTGAAGCGCATTTCGACGAATGAGTCATTTCGCCGAATGAGTCATTTCGCCGAATGAGTCATTTCACCGAATGAGTCATTTCACCGAATTTTAACATGAATTAAACTGAAAGAACTGATCTTTAAACATGAAGGAATCATTTCTTTAAATCAAAAATATTGATTATTTAGAAAATAACGAAGTCAGTACAACTCGAAAGAACTGGTTATGTTTGATTTTATTTAATTTCCAAAATCAGTACAAATCGAAATGTTTAAAAGAAGACAGCATTCCTATAAATCAACAATATCTAATATTAAGAAATTTCTGAAATCAGAGCAACGCAAAAAAAACTGCTCATGTTCAAAAGAAGGAAGCATTACATTTGAATAACTTGCCAGGTTGAAAAATTGAACCTTCTTAAAAAAATTCGAGACTGATTTCAAAATTTACTGAGCATTGAGAAAAGTTCAAAACCGTAGCAAATGTCCAGCTCCCGAGCAATATACATGAAAATAAAGCATAAAACCGAATTTCTTGGATCTTGAATTCGGTTCTGCGTTTGTCTTTGTCATTACAAAATCGCTCATAACTAGAGAAGGTTTTATGTGATTGTTTTCAAGGATTTCCTATAAAATAATTTTCATTTGCAGAGTTCTTTTCAGAAATCTTCTAAAGTATATATGAGATTCTCTCTGGCATTACTTTAAAAATCAATTTAAAACAGTCCTGAAATTCTTTGTAGAGCACTCAAAAAAAAATTATCCAAAGATTTTCATTAAATTTTAAACTTTTTCGAAGAATTCACTGCGGCTTCCTTCCCTTTTTTAATAGGCTTGACTTCTGTTTGGTCTCTTAATTCAAAAGCAATTCACCACATAATTGTCATAAAATATTACTCAGAATAATCTTGGATTTCTCTTTTAAATATTTCTAAACATTAGAGCTTGGAACTTCCCTTAAAATTATCAAGAAATTCTTTCCAAGATGCCCTTGAAATTATCCTAGCAATTTCCTTCCAACTCTTCGCGTGATTCCTTTGGGATTGTGCTCTCAAAATTCAACAGTTGCTTGCTGGGAGCCTTTCCTCCGGTTCGTATATCGCCTGTGTTGAGCTAGTTCATGGTGAACGATATGAACACGTTTGAAGTTTTAATGGAAATGCGGCTTCGGCTTTTTTCGTTCGGTACAAACTATGTGATGGCTATGTTAGGAAACACACCTGGTGGTCTAAGCAATGAGGAATTGTTAAATTTCTTAGCTGTTTGAATATGTTCACTATTTGTTCTACATGCCAAAACATTGTTGGATAAATTTCCCGTCGAATGGCAAATTGCATGACATATTTCAAATTAATACTGTGGAGAAATGTGTATTTGACAACTCTCCCATTTTCGTTACGTGTCGCATTTTTGATTTCTTAATGTGGCCCCCCATATAGTAAAGAAAAACGTAGTCCAACGTCAAAAAAGATTCAAATTCCATCGTCTAGGGTAAACGCTCCTAAGTTCCTGCATTTGCATTATAGCGTTGAAACACATTGATCAATAGTGATGAAATTTTCAAAGTACAATAAACATTAGTATCTAGCAAGAACTGCTCTTTAAACAAAGAAGGAAAATCTTCCTAAAGCTTTTTTATGAAACAACTATAAAAGAAAGAAGGGCAGCTTTTTAAAGGAGGAAAACATGATCTCATGAATCTTTTGAGTCCTGGTTTTTGTAAAGAATATATAATTTGCATCTCAGAAGGAATTAGCTTGACTAGAAGGATCTTTGGTGGCAAAATATCCTTCGGCAAAATGACTCATTAGCAGTGTTTGTAACGATCAGGAATTTTGTTTAAATTTGCATATAACTTAATAGGTTTAAATTATTTGAATTAAATTCCTTAGTGTAGGCAGTAGGAAGACACAAGCATTTTTGCTGAGATCTTTCCTAAGAGGGGTCCATTTAATTTATGGATGAGGTAGGAGAGCGACAGCCGCACGATTAAACGAGTCAAGTTATTTTTTGTGTCTTTAGATTGACGATAGGACACAAAGGTTTTCGGGAAATGATGGACTTCCGGTTCGTCCGAGCTTCACTTTTTTAATCTGAGGATTCACGGTCTCGATCATTGACTTCCCAACGAACTTGCATGCGCGTTTGTTCGTGGTTGTTGTTTTTCAAATTAAAGTATTAATTTAAAGTGATGTCAAGTGCTTAAATCAGTCACCAGGAACGCATACTCGTTTAGAGCTGATTAAGGTGACGTCACACAAATGAACAGATAAGAGCATTTGAGCACGTTAGTTAGAGATAGAGAGAAATCGCACACACAAAGGAGAGAGGAACGAACACACACAAGTAAATAGAAATCGATAAAGATAACATGTAAATAAATCTACGTAGGTTAAGTAATATGTTGAAATACCCGTTATTCCGTCAAAATACCGTCTGAATATTTCGTAACAATATATGTTTTCTTAAACGAACCATCTCCCTAGCTTTAATTGATTGATTGCATGCGACATCACTTCGCGTTCTCCGTTGTAGTTTTCGGGTCCAGTCCTCTTGTTGAGAGTTTGAATGTTGGGGAGAGTAGTCCACTTCCAGATCGGGGTGACGTCTAGTGGCAAGTGACGAGACTGCCGATGAGGATAAATTAATCATTTTGTCAAGCTTCTGCATTCATGTTCCATCAGATGTCACTGCTGTTGTTTGCGGTGACATCTTTCGGAAACTACACACAATCTGTTTTCTTATAATTGTTCACAGAGGACACTGCAGTGCAAAACATGTCTGGTACCTCTATATATGAATTTAGATTATTATTCGAAGTCCCTCCTTTTTACACATTCTGCACACAAAATAGCTCACCCCTCACAGAATTTCCCACCGATTTTTATGTATGGGGTGGGGCATAAATTATCCTTTGCGCAGAATATGTAAAAAAGGAGGGATTTCAAATGTTAAAGTAAATGCATTTATAGAGGTACCAGACATGTTTTGTAGTGACAGATACTCTATTTTATAATCTGTGAAAGGGAAATCACAAATCGAGTATCAACAAAATACATGGCATGTTGAGAGATTGAGGTCGTGAGAGCAAATTTTCTCTCTCAAATTTGAATTTTTTTTGGCTCTCTGAGAACTGGTAGTAAAGCAGGTAAAACTGTATGGGGACAAATCATTTTTAATTAATTGTAGCTTGTTTAACAATAATTTCCGGGAAAAAACTGAACGACAAAGTCCCTGATTGATTTCTCTAGGCTGTAGTTCACCTGAATATGCACCAAAAGTGAATTATTCCCACTTCTCTCAATTTCTATATGGGGATTTCTGTGGAAAATGGTCGAACAAAATGATTAATTCTCTTTCGTGGAGGTTTTTTTTTGGTATGGGTGAGCTCTCACCGACTCTCTGAGTGATTATCGTGTTTGTGATTTTACGGAGATAATAGGGTTTTCCCGTTTGGACTTGCCTGATCCGTAAATCCTTTCTAGGAAATTTAATGGACTCGCCTTTAGGAGAGTCTCAACCGGGCAAATTTACATTGGGCGTGTGGTCTCCCTTGTGGAGTGGCGCTTAAGCCACGCGTTTTAAGTCGGATCGGCCAGCTGGCTACATGTTGCACGTAAGATATTGGTCTAGCACGAAATTTCACTAGGGACACTGATATTCATGATATCAGGAGGAACGGCTTTGAAATTTCTATCCATTTGAATATAACTAAGGAAAATGATGACTGATGAATTTTATAAAGATCGGTACTCGATCAGCTGGCGTATAAAAGAATACAAAATGTGACAGAATGTCAGTGGTCCCTTTACGATGTCAATGTCATTTGCGCACTGACATTGACACGAATAACATTGATATTCTAACTGTGTCAATTGATACTGACGTCAGTAGGCTAGTGAAATTCAGTATTTTGTAGGTATTGATATTCATATTTTGCAGCACTGCTCCTAAGGTAAAATGAACTTCGGTGAAAGGACCCGCTCCCCTTCATTAACAGCCCTGGTAATGTTGAACAGAATATAAAGCGTTATTTATTCGGAACGACGAACAAACTAATTAAATCTAAAATCCTGAAATCAATGTTGTCCAACTTTGTCCAGTAATCAGAGCTCGGATAACCAGGATACCCCGGAGAAATGAATTTAATCAGATCAATGATAACCTGTAATCCTTTTCACAGAATGTTTGCAAATGAATGCCAAACATGCAAGAGTTCAGTCATTTTCTTAACTGAATACTGAATCAATTTCGTTCCCAAAGCAATAGCTCTTGTCTTAAAAAAAAAATAAAATAATCAAAGAAAATTTACCTCACGACATCGGTAATCTGCGCCTGGCTGTCTGTGGAGGCCGCCGTCCGCGCTGCAATAGCCCGCGCTCGGATCGGTCTAGAACAAGATAAAAGGGGAGAGGGTAAGGACAAGCAATAATCTGTTCCAAATTGAAGTTTCTTGATATCATCTTGTTGTTGCTATTTTCTTTAATTCATCAAAATCAGAGACCGCGCTGCTGCTGCTGCCACTCGCTGTCCACTCCACGACGGCATGGCAGAAGGACAGATGGACAGCCAAGCTACAGGCAGCCAGCAGCGTGGACACTTGGACGGTGATGGACACACGTCGCTTACGATTTATTTATATCCCATACATCTACAGCATCATGCAAAGTGTGAGTTGTATTTATCAGGCAACAGAGACAGAGCAGAGTTGGCCAGCGCGCCCGCCGTGAGGTGTTTGATGTTGATACCAGCCACAAACTAGCACTTAATAGCAAACAAATATTTAATCGGATTAATTTCCTCCCGTCGGCCTTTGGTGGAATGCTATTTGACGGCTTCGGCTGCGGCGATGCTTTCATTCATTGATAGATTTGATATTTTGGAATGTTTGAAGGAACCCTTGGCTGGTCGGAGTGAAGCGGGAGCTTGAAATCGATCCAAATTTCAAGCAAATCATGCCGGATCATGCTACCTGATTGGAAGCTGCCGGTTGCCGGCTTTTATGAATCGAACACATTTCGAAACACGTTTGGAAGCTGGGGAGAAAGATTCATCAACTAAACCGTTCGGCGAATGGGGATCAACAACGGTGCTGCTGCTGATGCTGCCTTAGAGAGCGAAAGGCCCCAAAAAATCAGGCAGCGCAGAGATCATTAACCAAACAATTGAATGTGTACATTTTCAACAATCCGTGACTAAATCGTCGGCTACGCTACTGGAATTTTCCCTGCATTGATCGATCGCGCGGTTGGCATACTAATATCACTGCAGCTAGGGTTGCCCAAGCTTTTAACGGGTTTACCGAACCAATTGGAGTACGCAGCAACCCTACCCCTGGTGCCGCACCAATCCCAAGGGAGTTCAACTCTCCACGCTGGCCACTAGGACCGGCTGGCTACCGGAGTTTTTTCTCTCTTATTTGCCCGTTCAATCGATCTACGCTCATGACGCACGAAATGATCAACGTTCGCGGCGCAGCAGTGTCCTAACAAAAAAGGAACCTCCAATCGTGCGGACCTCGCAACATCATGCCTCCCATTCTCCGGGTACCAGCAACTGATCGCAGCCCGAAAAAAAATTAGCTGCTCCGAACGTTCAAGATGGTTGTTTTCCACTGTGCTCCTCCCGAAAAAAAAGGTGTACAGGAAAACAAATGATTCAGCAGTTAAGTTACCCAGTAGCGCAAGTGTTCTTCAACGGGCCGGGCGATTGATCGTAAAAGGAAGACGATCGCCAACCGAGAAAAGACCGTCCAGCGATCGATCGATCTTCCGAAATTGTTGACGTTTGGCGTTGATGGCTGTGCGAAAATTGAGCCTCCATCAACAAAGGGGACGAAAACGGTCAGCTACAAAAGGTCGAATCCTACAAAGTTATTCATCATCCTTCAGTCATTAGCGCGAGCACACAGCTTCTGAAGTTTCGGTGCTGATTTGGCTGAAGTGATCCGATCTTCGGGATGGAATCGGATTGGTCAAAGAGTTTGGAGTTGAAATTACAACTTTTAACAAAAAAAAAAAAATTATGCAATTATTAGCTTGAAAGTTTGATGTAAACTCTTCTTCTTCTTCCAGGATTTTAAGCTTCTGTGGCGAGCGTTTGGTCGGCTCTCAACTTATCTTCCAGAATTAATAATTGATAACTTTCAATGTTAAACAATGCATGAGTTTGTTCAGGAGAAATTCTCGTTGAAACCAGTCCACTTTTTGCCCGAGGCTCTCAAAAACTATTTTATTTTGTACTAATTCAGAAGTACTGGTTGTGAAACTAGGAAAATCAATTGGCAAAGGTCAAATTTCTGGATCCCTAGAAGCTCAATCCATTTTTAAATGTGCTCAATTTCTGCGTACCGGGGTAGCATTGATAGTTTTTTTTTTAAGTATATATATATATTTTTTTTCCTTTCCTTTGTTTTTTTCCGTCGATCTTGTTTTCCGTGCTGAGCGCCAATGCTACCGACGTGCCAGGAAGGCAGCTCCCACACCTGGACCCTACCTATCGACCCATCAACTCATGAACCGGGGACCAACGGCTTTACTTCCCATCCGAAGGAAGGCGTGATCAGAGATGTTATGCCTCAGAACATCCCGGCGGCGCCGACTGGTATTGAACCCAGGCCTACTGGGGTGAGAGGTAATCACGCTTACCACTACACCACCGGCGCCGTTTTTTTTAAAGTATATTCTAAATGTTTTTGAAAACAATGAATGTTTTTTTAAATCTCTTTTTCTTAACATGTACTGAGGATCCCAGAGTTAATTCGTTAGTATTATGTTGAACGGAAATTATAGCATTTGCACTATTTTTATAGTGTTTTGACCGAACATCAGTATTTTGATTTGTGGTGGAAACTCAGACAATTTAGTAAAAGAAATAAGAAATTTTGAATGAGTATATAATCAGAAAATATCAAACGCAATAAGAATACAACAATGAATATTTGCATAGTTTTTTTTTTTGAAGCTTATATACTTATATACTTATAATGCTTATATACAACAAGAAGTATCTGCAATGCAAATATGTGGTTGATCTATTGCAACTTCTAATGCTTGGAATACTAATAGACAGCAAAAACAATAAAATTTCTATCAAAGCACTTTACTGACATCTGACTCTGTGTTCGCGGGAAATATTTAGCTAAGCCATGAACCCACATGTAAAAGTTATGAATTGGTTCGTGTCTGATCTATACTGGACGAACTATTTTTATCTAGATCAAAAAATCTCATGGTTTTGACAGTTTGGATCTTTGCACATTTAAATCGGCCGTTTACGATTTTCGGCCATAAGTCAGAATTAAGTGTCATGTCGGTTTGTCGGTGGTGAAACCTCTCCCAAAAGGGGAAACGCTCCTATAGTTGCGGTACGTTAGAAGCGTTAGGTTCCTATAGTTGTGCATGGAGACTCAATACACAGCTATAGGAACCTAACGCTTCTAACGTACCGCAACTATAGGAGCATTTACCCTATTCCGTTTGCTTTTTTTTTCCTTGATTTATTTTCCGTCGATCTTGTTTTCCGTAATGAGTATCAATGCTTCCGACGCCAAGGAAACAGCTCCCACACATGGACCACACCTATGGACCCATCAACTCGTGGCCCGGTGACCAACGGCTTTACTTCTCTTTCGAACAGAGATACTAGATTTACAGACATGTCTGTGAATTTGCAGACTTTTATTTTTTTCACAAACATTTTTTTCGTTACAGATATTTACAGACTTTTGTGATCAAGGGAAAATTTTAAAATTTATTTTGTTACACTGTCTTATATCTTTAATCAAATTACACGTGTGATGCATTTTGCAACACGCATTAGTAAAGGGTGATACGGTCAAAATTTGGTCAAGGGAAAACGCGTGTAAATCGGTGAAATCGTTTATTTAAAAAATCAAATTAAATTTCTTTTTCAAGTTCAATTAGTATAAAATTCAGGAAAAATATTCAGTTAGGCTTCCGCTTTTCCAAATCCGAATTGCCGGGCCTTACGCTTGACCCCTGCCATCAGATTTTGTACAGCCACTTTGTCCACCTTCTTCGCCGCAGAAAGCCAGTTTGCCTTGAACTGCTGCTCGCCCTTAGCAGTTTTTTTGGTCTTCTTTAGGTTCCGCTTGACAATAGCCCAGTATTTCTCAATTGGGCGGAGCTCTGGCGTGTTGGGAGGGTTCTTGTCCTTGGGAACCACCTGCACGTTGTTGGTGGCGTACCACTCCATGGCCTTTTTACCGTAATGACAAGATGCCAAATCCGGCCAAAACAGTACGGAACAACCGTGTTTCTTCAGGAAAGGCAGCAGACGTTTATTCAAACACTCTTTCACGTAAATTTTTTGGTTGACAGTCCCGGAAGCTATGAAAATGCTGCTTTTCAAGCCACAGGTACAGATGGCTTGCCAAACCAGATATTTCTTTGCGAACTTTGACAGTTTCATGTGCTTGAAAACATCTGCTACCTTTCCCCTTCCTTTTGCCGTATAAAACTCCTGTCCCGGAAGCTGCTTGTAGTCGGCTTTGACGTAGGTTTCGTCATCCATTACCACGCAGTCAAACTTCGTCAGCATCGTCGTGTACAGCCTCCGGGATCGCGCTTTGGCCGTCGTATTTTGTTTATCATCGCGATTTGGAGTCACTACCTTCTTGTAAGTCGATAGTCCGGCTCGTTTTTTGGCTCGATGCACGGTTGTAGACGATACACCCAGCTTATTTGCGGCATCTCGGAGAGAGAGGTTAGGGTTCCGGTTTTCGATTTCCCCCCGATCCAGACTTCCTGGCTGTCAACAAACGTTCCCCAAACACTTTAATTACATTTGTAACGGTTAATTTGGCAACTTTTAGCGATTTTGCCAACTTTGCGTGCGAGTAGCTCGGATTTTCGCGATGCGCGAGCAAAATTTTGATACGCTGCTCTTCTTGCTTGGACGGCATTTTGACAACTGAAGAGTGAATTCCAAAATCAAAATAGGAGCAACATTCTACACACACACACCTTCAAAATGAGGGGTGTTCAGGTTTTTTAAATGCAAAATTGAAAGAAATACGTCAAGTTGATATTGACCAAATTTTGACCGTATCACCCTTTAATTCGTGGTTTTTTCAAATTCACCACACGAACGAGCTGTCACTTATAACAGTGACAGTTCGTTCGTGTGGTGAATTTGAGAAGGTCATAGTTATAGAGCTGTCAATGTGCTGCCGTGTTGTATCCAAAACGAAAATTTTCCTCACTCACGTTGACCGGTCTATAGTCACTGTCACTGAAAAGCTCAAATGTGCGGAACCTAATGTGCGATCAGGATAAAATTTAAAATCGTCATATGGGAGACCAGTTGCAACAAAATGGAAGTGGTTTCACTCAAATCAGTTCAGCAATCGTTGAGAAAAGTGAATGA